ACGTAAGGACGATAATTCGCGATAAGGTACTACTTCGCGAAGGAGAAAACGTAAAGATGATCCCTTCGGAACGAGAAAACAAGGCTATTGGCAGATTCGAGGAGTCAAGGGGGCGGAAGAAACGGAAGAAAAGGAAAATATGAATGTGGCTTATGTGCGTGAGAGCTATTGCGTTCATTGAAACATCGACTGGTACCACCGACGCTTCTTTGCCGAGATCGTACGTATGTAAAGCCATGAGCAACCGTAAAAAAGGTTTACGAGCAGTAAAAATCCGACAGCCGTGCGAGCTTTCTCCTACCGCCTACGTTCGCATAGTGGAGTGGATAAAATATAGATACTCGAGCTTGCGCGTACCATCCTTTTTCTTTTTCTTTTTCCCTTTCCATTTTTACCCTTTCCATTTTTACCCTTTTTTCGATCCCTCTTTCGCTATACTATGTGTCTCTTTCTCCATTTATTCGATACACGTGATGGAACAAAAGACTGCGTAATGATCCGTTGGAAGTGTTTCATTTTATTGCAAACGAAAAATGGAAGGAAACGGGACGCCAAATTTTTTTACGATACACAAATTCATTCATAATAAATATATTTACGCTTCCTTCTTTTTCTCTTCTTTTTGTTTGTTTCTTTTTTTATATCGATTAACGTATTCTTATATTTTATTTTATTTTATTATCTTCGTCTATATCTCTCCTTTCTTTTTCCTATAATTCTTCTGTGCGTGCGTGTTTTTTTTCTATTTCAAATTTTTTTCTCTCGAATAAATCATTAATAATAACGAAGATCGATCATTTTTTCGCGCGTCACATTAATTTTTTGTTTGTCGACGAGATAGGTCTGAAAAGTTATCGATCTCGATAAAAGTCCTTGAAATTTCTTCGTCTCGTAAAGAAACTTGTGTCTTAATCCAGGGATAGAAGTTGGCCTGCATACGCGTAGATGATGGGTCGAAAGATTCAATTAATCATAAATACAAGTTTTGAGCGGTTTGAGCGGAAGAAGATATTTGGCTCGGGTGAAGCCTCAAGAAGGAGAGGAGGGAGAGGGCTGTCACGATGAGCAGGAAACCAGAATACAAGAGATTCCTTGAAAATTGTCGCGATGATAAATCGCGCAAATATCGTATGTGCGAACTTTTTGAAAAGCCACTGAAATATTCGTGTTGTTTGCAATAAATCGTGATTATCTCGTTTAACGTTCTCGTTAACGTTCTCGTTAACGTTCACGTTAACGTTCGAAATAAAATTATAATTTTTTTTTCCTCGATATTTTGTAACCGTTCGTTTTGTTTTATAGCGTGCCCGTTAGTTCATCGGTAGGGGTTGCGCGTGCAATCGATGTTTGGATTTCTTTTTATTTCTTTTTCAGTTAGAATGCACGGCGGAGAGGTTATAAATATACCTTCCAGCTTTTCAAATCGTATATCTTCGACAGTAGCTGAGTTACGATTCTGCTACAGTTTTTCAGAAGAATACATAGATATTCGTAGGATTATCTATGGAGAAAAAATTCGGTGATGCGTTTATAATATATGGGATATTCCTTATAAACATTTTTCGAACGAGTTTCTTTATTTCGCACTTTACGAACGAAAGCACCGCGTTTTCTTCTTTTATTATCGTTTATATTTTTCCTAGTTACTTTTGTAGTCAGAATTCTATAAGAGTTTCTTACTTACAAGCATTTCACTTTTCATGTAAAATAACGATTATCGTTGGCAGTCGTGCGAGGTCTTTCAACGAATGATGACGCATCGAGAAAATGAGAAGTGTCAACGAATGAGACTTTTGTAATTTCCCTCGTGTGCCATTCGTCAGGCACTTAACCGCACGATCCTAAAAGTACTTCGTGAAAGTACGAGGACTTCTCTTCTCTTCTCTTTTTCTCATGGGTGACGCAAACTCGCTGCTTGTGCTGCTGCTTGCTGAAAGTATGAATGAAAGCAGCAACTCGCATATCGTGTATTTCAAAATATGTATCTGTACGAAGGTATCTATATAAAGGTACACACATGCAAACTTAGGTAGGCAAGATTGAATGCATTTATGTTCTTCGAAACGTCGACGTTTTAAGTAATCAGTCGACTGATAAATCTCTTTTAATAGATCCACATTTAGATGGAAAACCTCAAATGATCATTTACCTTTCTAGATGATGAATTAGTTACATTTCAATCGGATTACAGGACGCGTTTCCAGATATGGAAATGTCTTCTATGGTTGGGAGCAATCGAAAGTTCTACACTTTGGTAAAGATAGAGTAGAGTTTGCAGTAGTCGGTGGAGTGAAAAACAAATATTGTCCGATGCTTAGAACAGGCACAGGAGGACATGCGAGTAGAGAGTTCCAACGAAGAGACACATTTCGGTGAAACTGCAGCAAGCCGCGGAACGAACGTGTCATTATCCTTCGTCGCCAAGGTCCATTAGAAACTAAATGTGCTACGTTCCGGCTGGTAAACATCCAGGCTGCTAGGAGAAACCTGACTGATTGCGTGGATACGGTAATTGTACGCCTGGTTACAGAATCAGCTATACGGCCAGGAGAGTAGAAAGTAATCAAAAGCTACGGATACGAGAGACCGTCGAATGTGGTAGAAAAGTAGAAAATCACGACGACAACGACGAAATCTAACAAATTTAACAAAACGACAAATATTCCCTTCAAATCTTTGCTCTTTGTTATTTTCAACACGTTCGCTTACTTTTTAAGGCATCCTGTCTACCTACTGTTGGGCTTTTCTCTTGCCTTTTATGACAAAAGAAAAGAGAAACACGAAGAACGAACGAATTACCTGCTCGAGCGGCATTGTCATGCAATCATATTGTGTTATGTAGAAGAAATGAAGAAGTTTTTTCTTTCAACAAGAATATAGAGGATGTTTAAAAGTATGCTTGGTGATAAACGAAATGTAATACGCAATACTCAGGGAAAATTAATACTACGAGGGAAAAATGAGAAAAAAAAAGTTGCATATACATTGTAAATAACATTCATAAAACTCACTCAAGTCTATCGTAACATTCGACGAAATATACTTTTTGCGAATATCGTTGAATAGTCGTGGTGCGTGATTGCATTCTTTATATTATAACACATCGCGTCATTCGATATAACTCGCCACATGATTATTTTACGTGTCTTTTTAAAAAGACATTCGAGAATATCAAATTCATTAATAATTGTTCGATGCTTAATTATCCAAAAGCATGTAACTTTGATTCGCACGATCAAAAATGATATCAAGTTAGCTTGGTCATAATATAATTAATGCAATCAACCTCGACTAATTGATGTTGATTAGTCAAGTAACAATCATAATATTTCGAAATCGAATCTAGATATTTCAAACCGGCTCGAATGACATTTAACGGATCGATGAAAGCTCTAAAAATCCAATCGAACATTTTCAGAATAAATAATTATTTACATAGCACATGTGTTTATCGATCTTTTCGAGATAAGACACTCGAGTATAATTTTGGTCGCGCTAGCACCCAAATGATGTAAACTAACCGCGTACAAAAAAGACCGTAACGAGCGATTACGTATAAATGGAAAGTCGTGAAAAAAGAAAAAGAGAGAGAAAGGCAGAAAAGCTCCGTACCCCCCCCCCTCCACTCTCTCATGGAGGTTAAAGAAAAAGGGAGTAGGAAATGTGAAAAAAGGCAGTCACCGAGTATACGGAGAATCTGTTTTAGTCCAGTACAAGCCGTAGCTAGATAATTATCTCTCTGCTTCTGAAAACGTTATTTACGCTGCCCCAGCTGTGCACTAGCATCAACCCACTGCTACTATTACTATTGCTGGTACTAATAAAACGGTTAATCGTATCCTTAACCTCTGGCAAATTTAACCTTTCAGTCTTTTACCTAGTAGATATAGACAGTAAAATACTTCATTTTGTATTCTATTTATATATTGTTCCATCTAAAACAACGTTACAATAATATTCTTTCAAATAATATAAATCGAAAGCAAACGTTAAAATTCTACATGAAATTTTGTTTGAGCAATGAAATGACGCGTACTGCACAAATTTTCTCAAAATAAAAAATATTTCAAAGGAGAATAAAACAGATTTATGATTTCGTACTCATTACAAATGCCATGTTGCCACGAACAACGACGATGACAGGAGAAAATCCTTTTATCCGTTTTTACGATATATTGTATATGAAAGAGATTGTCAAACGAATAAACGAACGAAAATTGTAAAAAAAAGTAATTCGAAGGTAAGGAAGAAAGGAGAAAAATTAGCAGACTAAAACAGGTAGAAAAAATCAAAAGGTAGAGAAAATGTATAACCAGTCTTTGTGCCATTGACACCTTTATAACGGCTGATTTTCTTCATTTATCGGGATTTTTTCCCCTACTTTGACATCGGTTTCGTTTTACCAAACGGAAAGGCATCGTAATTACTATAGGACCAGGGTTCGATCTCTGTTTTTTTCTTTTTACCTTTTTCCTTCTCCCTATCTCTTTCAATTTGATTTTTATAACTTTAAGGATATTCTTATATAATACTTGTCATAGGGTACTAGCCGATCGATCGTATTAGCGCATTATTAATTGCTTCGATATTGGTAAAGACAAAATTCTTGGTATGGAACGTCGAAGAATTTGATTTATACTACTTACGTCTCGTTAATCGTCAAAAGTTCGTTGTGAATATATTTTCTTTTTCCTTCGTCTGCGATATCTCATGACTTTAAGTAGATAGTACCAAGCAATGGTCAGATTTATGTCTCCCGATGGCGTGCGTGATTTATAGTTAATCAAATATTCATAGAAAAAAATATGTAATATAAGATTTAATGAAACAATTTCTATAAGGAGTTATATTAATCGTTTCCTTGAATAATCCAGCGATTCTCGTAGTGGATCGGTCCCTTAGTGGGGAAAGTTTCCCTTTTGTAATAGAGTATTAATCTCTTAATGATCGAACTTCAAAAGAGATATCTCTAATGAAATGGTTTTTGTGTTTTGTTTCAGACGAGTATTCGCAAGTCCTTGGAAAGAGAGGTTTCCGTTTGATCTGGGCAGCAAAGCCACCGAATAACACGGAAAGCAATAGGATAAAGACCGAGTGCGGATATAGTAAGTACTTTCGAGAGAACGACTTAAAGGCAGAAGAAATAGGATAAAAGAGAATTGGAAAGAGAAAAGGAAGAACAAGTTCTTAGGCCCTCGACGATACGTAATTCGACCTTAAGGAGAAGAATACGTTGAAAGTGGAAAAAAAGAAAAAAACGGAAGAAATCTAAGGTATCTCTCTCTTAGAGTTTTATGGAACTTCTTGACGCCAAATGATTTTGTCTTTAGAGAAGAGGAAGAAGAAGAAGAAGAAAATAGTTTGGTGTTGGAGAACAATCAAATCACGAATAATAGAATGAAAGTGAAGGAAAGCGTAGCGATAGAATGCAAATTATTCCTCGTCAAAATTTCCTACCCTCGTTATTCGGGATCGATCGATCTGGAATGTTGAAGTAAAAGAAAGAAAGAAAGAAAGAAAGAAAGAAAGAAAGAAAGAAAAAGAAAAAGAAAAAGAAAATAGCAGAGGGATTGTCTATAAATTTGGGGATAAGAAAAAAGAAAAATAAATGTACGCGTGTATCGCGTAGATATAAAACGTGTTCGATAGGAGAACGTTCGCGCGATTACGTAGCAGTTCTCGAAGCTCTTGAAAGGAAGAAGGAAGAAATAGTAGAATGAGAGAAGCCAAGAAAGATGATATTGAGGCGGAGGACTGATTGAGAAAGAGAGAGAGAAAGAGAGAGAGAGAGAGAGAGAGAGAGAGAGAGAGAGAGAGAGAGAGAAATGGCGACGAACGAGAGTATTGGTGTAACGAGTGCGGCGCGTTGGGGTTTATGGTTTGCTGCCGTACTCCTCGCAACGGCCTCGTCGTTGGTCTATTCTCAGGTCACGTGGACTCCGATCTACGTTGGCGGACAGAGTAAGTAGAAATTCTTTGTGCGTCTTTTGTCCTTTAAGCTCGAGCTTAAGGTCTCCGAGCACAAATTGGTTCGATACGATGATTCTCTACCTTGTCTATATCTTCCTTCTCTTTCCTTTGTCTCGATAACATTTATTTTTCTTACGAATTTGTCCAAATGCCGCCCTCCCCCTACCGTCTCCGGTCGGGGATTGCACCGACTCGCAAACTAACGTTTTGCTAAAGCGTCCAGATATTTTTCGTACAAATGAAAAATATCCGAACGAGAGAGACGGTGAAATATAACGAAAAATTCTTCGCGTCTCGGTTTGGCGAAACAACAAAAAGAATGGTGGATCGATATTACCAACTCCCGAGGTCGCATGCTACAAGAATCAGAGAGAGGGGGAGATATATATATATAGAGAGAGAGAAAGAGCAATAGAACGCACGAGGAGAACCAACCGGCGAATCGATTTTATCAATTAACGAACTACGCAAACGAGTCAAACTAATGGCGTATCAACTTTGTTCGGAAAGATGGCAAACGAATGAGCGGGATAACGGGAGAAAGGGCGCGGAAGGCGTACGAACAAATTGTAGGACGAGCGTTAAAACGATTAACAACGACGTCCGCGGAATTTATATTCATTTTATCCTGACGATTCCGCAACGCCTTTGGCGGTACGTTTTTTTCTCTATGAATTTGCTATTTCTATTACACAGACAAAAGTTATTACTTTACTTTATATAATATATCGAGTCGGGACTAGGGAAAAGAAAAAAAACCTAATAGGATAATAAATATTACCTCTCTCTCTTTCTCTCTCTCTCTCTCTCTCTCCCGCTAATTCCATTCCGATGTTATTTTTTGTCTCTTATTTCCTTGAATTTTTTTTCCATCGTTCGGCGGACGGCAACACGTGCCGTTGATAAATAGGAAAAGCGTTCTCCGTTTCGCGAGCTTTAATCAGGAAGAGTCGTTCGGTTCTCAACGGGGAACGAGACGATCAATTTGCGCGATATCCACGAAGATATTCGTTTCAGCAACTTCTCTCTTTCTCTCTCTCTCTAGGACGATCTATCTCGGCTCGCGCGATAATGAAATCCACGCTGACGTTTTTGGCGCGATTCGATATTCTCGAACAAACGCACAAATTTACGGCGAGCTCGTGTTCGACGGCGTAGCCAACGCGACCAACGTCGTCTCGATCGTTCGACTACAAATTTTCACCGCGTTAAATTATCGCACTTTTGTTTTGCTCTCTCTCTCTCTTTTTTTAATTTTTGTCGTATATTATCTAACGAATCGAAATTCGATGACGGTGATACGCGTTTGACGAACGAAAAGATAAAATTCCGTCAAAAAGCTAATATAATTTTAACGCGTCGTAGAAGATTTGCGGTAACGACGTTCGGGATTTTTTCATAAAATTGGCAGATGATAGAAAAAGTTCGCAAAGGGGGATATATTCGGTTCCTAAGAACGTTTCTTTCGAGTTTCCCAAATCAAGCGTGTCGTTTATTATGTTGAACTTTCTTACGATTGAATGAAGAAAAATGTATTTCCTCGTAAGAAGGAAAATGAAATTCTAAGACGAAATTATCGTATCACTGATAAGAGAGGTAGGAAAGATCGCGTTGGAACGATTAACTTGAACGAATCTTGCCCTCGATATGAACATTCGATTCACGTAGGAGAGATCGAAAAGTAATCACGTTTTTCCAAAAGCTGTAGGAAGCTTTGCGACTTGAGAATCAATGGGAAACGTGCGCTAAGTTAACTCGATTTTTCCGTCGATACGTTCAACGTCATATCGCAACACACAGAAACACGCAAAAAATATATAACTTAACGAAAGAACGAAGAAAAAGAATAAAATAATAATGTTTAACTTTTGCGGTATTAGAATATAAATGAAAGAAAAATAAAATGAAGGGTAAATTGAATTTGGTGTTGTACGCTCGTTTAACGAGTAGAAAACGTAATCGATCCTTCAGGGTGGAACAATCGTTCGGAACGAGCCCAACGGTGGCGTGGCATCGTAAAATTGAACGTTCAAACTTTCGGATCGTAACGTCAGGTTGTGATGCTCTCAAATACGGAAGAAAATGCTTTTTCTTCCTATAAATCCAGGGCGTTACCTTAATCGGGGCTGGATGTTGTCGTGGTAACTCGTGTCCTGCTCGAGGGTTCAACCTTCAAGGGTTCAACCTTCAAGGGAGGAGAGACAATTTCGAACAGCGCGGAGATTCAGCTGAATAATTCGAACCACAAATGTCGTGTAGACGATTCGAATCGGAAGTAGAGAAACCCGAATAGTTTGAAGGGAAGAAGGCTGACAAGAGCCGCGCTAGTGTAGGGAACGAAGAGAAGACTCTCCTTTGCAGTTAGTTGTCGTCAGTAGCAGGCTGTACTCTAATTAACGGCGAGTAACAAGGGTATCCGAGAGAGAGATGGAGAGTCGTTCTATAACTCGCGCGAGAGCGAAACGCAGACACGACCTCGAAGTCGTATAAAAGCATCGGAGTAAGAGGAACGAGAAGAATAAAAGAGAAAATAATAAAGAGGAGGAAAAGACAGGTCAAAGATAAACTTGGAGATGGAAAGCCTTACGCTGTACCGGTATCGATTCACCCGAGCTTTACAAATTCCTACTCTTACATTTTGTTAATTAATTGCCATAGAAAGATAGGTACGTTTAGACTTTGCTCCTTCAAATTGCTTAAAAATCTCATTACACGACTTAGGGATTAAAGATAAGAAAACGTCGAGGTCCGTTAAGAGAAATTCTTAGTAAATCGAATTTTGGTCTCTTTAAGAGGTCGAACAATTTTTACTCGCAAGCATCTTCTTGAAAACTTCCGTTCAGCCGAATAACTTGAGGCCATAAAAAAAGTAAGAGGAACAAGCTACTCGTAAAATTGTAACAAGAATCGGCCTGGATCAAGAGAAAACGGATGTTGCAGCTGTTTCCTGTCGCACGTAAGTTTTCGATAGAGAAGCCTTCGCGTATTTCGAAGAACGGCATCGTTTTTCTCCTATTTTTACTTTTTCCTCCGATCTATGTTGGATTACTGTTTTTTCTTTTTTCTTTTTTCAACTTCCAATCTTGAATCGCCGCATTGAAAATGCGATCCTGACAATATTTATAACGTTGAATATTTTATCCGCAAGTTTACAAGTCGATAAAAATGTCACTCAATTTTCAAGTAGTTGAAACCCTGACGCGTGCACGCGTACGAACTGTTTCTTTTTCAAGCGAAGCAAGCTCATTCTTTGTATCTTTTTGAAAAACGAACAAATCGCATCGGATTACAATCGTAATTATCTTCAAATTTTAACTCCCATTGATTTTGTGATAAACGATCCGTGAATTTTGTCTTGTTTTTTTAAATTTTTGTATTTGTTTTTTCGAAACCGTGTTTCGCGGGCGACTGATCGGTCGTTGTTCTTGTACCAAAAGTAGAAAGGGATAAACAATAGGTCCGAAGTGAGAAAACGAATGGGAAGTACGGAAAGCACAGATTATCGTTGATTTTGCGGTCGGCCGATCGCAGTTTCCGTCGTTCTGCCCACACCAGAAACGAAAACAATGCTGCAAAGAGAGTGAGAGAGAGAGAGAGAGAGAGAGCGCCCTTGGAAGCCACCTGCGCGCACTATGTGCAGGTGCATTGCAGTTTCATAGTCTTCGACCGTACTCACCGTCCGACTAGAACCGTGAAGCGAACTGTAATCCTGTTTTCTAAATGTAACCCAACTTTGGCGAACATGTGTACGTCCAACCGCAAGCCCTGTTCAACAATTTGTCTCCACGCCCAACATCCCACTGTATTCCGTGCCCTTCTCTTCTCTTTCTCTTCTCTTCACTTCTCTTCTCTTCGTATCCACCGTTCTTTGTCTTCTCTCTTCGACCGTTTCCTTCCACTTTCTCTCTTCATCCCTTTCAGAACGAGAAACCACATTTGAAACTATGCAATCTTCGATATACGTATGCAATTTTACTTTTCGCAGAGCTTGCTTTATCTAACTTTTCAAAGTACATACCGTGTTTGTCTCGAACAAATATTAACTCGATTGTGTTGTATTTCAAAACCTTGACGAGTAGAGATTTTGATTGGATCATTTATTATTAGACTATTTTCTTGATATAAGTGGCTTATATATTGCGTGTATTTTATATAGATCGCTACAGAAGCAATCTTTACCGAAGGGATCAAATCAAGTAATGCAAACATATACTTAGTTGCCGACTCCCAACGATGTGGTCATCCTTTAATCCTATTTAAACTATCATCAAATTTGTGTTTAGTAATGAGTTTACGTTTAAATTGTTTGCGCGTTAATAATTCTTCCTTAATGTCAAGAATTCGAATTTTTCCATTAAATATATTTATAATCTTAGGTTTATTTAAGTACCCTTATTACTATGAATAAACTCTTTTTCTCTATGGTTTTCCAATATATGCGGACGTTTGTGCACGCATAATACGACGAGACTTGTAAAAAAAATTAGCACTATTCGATTCAGCGTCGTCGAGTTACCATTATATCAAGTTTTCGGCAAAGAAACACAATTAGCTCAGTTTTTCTTTAGTTGAGCGGACTAGAATGTGGATTAGAGAACGCGATAATTTGCCGTGTGACTGGTGCCAGTCCTTCGACGAATCGCATTACCATATGGTAATCGCCGTAATTTCGTTATCGTCGTTTATGAACAGACAATAGTAAGATAGTCATTTTAAAAAAGCAAAAAAGCCCTTTTTTGTATTGCAAAAGTTACGTGCCGGAAAGAAAGTAGGCAAAGCCGGACTCGTTCCAATTAAAATTCATCGATTTGTTAGTTTCCTATCAATGGTTAACAAGTATCGTATAGCTTGTACGCAACGCTCACGTATCCCGATGAGCAAGAACAATTTCGGGCACTCGTCATCGCTCGGAAACGGCTCGTAACTTGCTGGCTGGCAAGAACAATTAGCCAGGAGTCCGTGGAATTGCCAAGGGCGATACAATTGGCTCG